AATCCTTCCAGACTACTTTGCCAGGGGGCCAAGCAAGTTTGAATTACAAGTGCATCGCGCTTTGAGGTAATTACGCGGAGTTATCATAATAGACCGTAAGTGATCACGCCGCATCTCCGTAAACTTCCGGGACGTTCACCGTTCCGTAAGGTTCTGTAGAAGGATATATGCTTAGAATTAAAACTCCTGTGTTATTGTGACTCAGGTGTTCGACTTCTGAAAACTGCGTTTTACATAGACCGTTCGACATTAACAGCACAACTCGTTCAATGATCGGCTTCATTAGGGAAACTAAATGGGTCCCGACATAATTCTCTGCAACAAACTCCCGGGGTGAAACGTCCTACCTGCATGCCTTGTATCGATTCGGTCTGTCCTGGGGCTTTGACAGCACCGCACTGGCGCCCAAGGACAGCCTGGGCACTGAGTGAGCAATTTCGGCATTGGAAGACACTCCATCACCTAGTCTAATCAATCACCTATAAAAAAGGCCTTGCATGCAAACGCCCCTAGCTCTACAAACTATTACAAACTAATGCTCTCCGACTGTGCTCTGAATAGTGCACAACATTGCAGGTTTGAGACCATGCTGGCAAGCTTCGAGCGGGCAGTTGCGCGGAAGCTGCGCATCGATGTTGCCCTGGACTGGCAAATCAATGATATTGATGTATGTAGCCGACATTTTACCCGCAGAAATTTATCCTACTTGCGTTGCATTAGCGAAAATAATGAGCAGAGGCCTGGGCTCTTCCGGGCACCTGGGATCTCGCGGGTCCTCCGGGTCCGGCCGCAGATGATGTGACAATCCTAGCATCCTCGAAATATTGGCATCCCGGCACCCCCCCAGCCTCGCGGATTTGGCGCCGGGGTCGCGGAGGGCGTGCCGCTGGGGGTCGAAGCGTCTCCTGGACCAAGTCGAACAGTCTTTCCCCGAATTGAGGACATCACAAATGCGTCAAGACATGGATGACATGCAGAGATGCCTCCGACTGCGATCCGCTGAGCACAGCCTGACTGACAACTTGACAGCTGAGAAACGACCAAGGACCGGAGTCCCATGAGCATCTGTGAGCACAATGCAAGGCCCAGCAGGCTCGTGCCTTGGGACTGGAAATGTTAGAGCTCGCAGTTTCCAAGCACTCGCTGTCTGTGCGCACCGTCTTCCTTACAGGGAATCACATGTCTTCAGAAAATTGCCCTGTGCTCTGGTAGAATCCGCAGTGCCGTTTCATACCGCTGGCATGTTGCAATCTGCGTTCGCATCCCATTCACTTCATGGTCAATGGTAGCTCAACGGCCGTTGTGCAATAAAATGCAGCAACTGTACCACTGCACCAGACCTTTTCCTGCGGCCTGGGTACGCAAGCGGCGCGTGTCACCAAAGCTATGATGAAACCCATGAAACATGGCAGGTGCAGTTAAGGAATACAATCCCTTTCGTAAATGAATCCCAAGAAGCAGGAGGTCTGTGCCAAAAGCTAGCCCTGTTCTACTCCAATTCACTTGCGTTGCAAGAGTCGGGCTCAAGGAAAATGGTGACGTTGGGGAGCCCTGCAGACTAAGCAGAGCAACAACAGGTTGGTCTTCTTGCATCACTGAAGTAGTGTCTGACAGCAATAAGTATTACCAGCGCGAGCACTTCAGAGTTGAGTCTCCAAGACACACAAACACACAGCCTCTGTGGACGGCTTGGGGTAGCCTGTGCGAGCCAGAGGGCAAACAATGTAACTTTGGCAGCAAATCACCAGCGTCAGCAGACTGATTATCGCACTCTTTAGTGAGGCACAACACGAGGAAACGAAACTGGAAAAAGGGAATTGGAACAAACTTGTTTTTGACGGTGTGCCCCACTTCGAATCCCGTCCTACCTGGCCGGGAGCTCTCGGCAAGGAAGGCCTGTTACGTGTTTCGAGGTACGAGCTGACGTGAGTTTCCAAAAAAAGCCAAGGAGACTTTTGTTTTCCTCTGGCCTGCAGCGCTTTGGTCGCGGCAACGTCCACGGTGTCAAGCTCGGGCTCCGGGGAGACGACGCCTCATGCAAGAAAAGAGTTTGGTACGCAAGTCACAGAGTGTTGAGCGGGTTTTCGCTGAGGCCAGAGCGTTTTCGCCAGTCATCCTCTACTCCCAAAGCTGAAGGCACCTGTATATCTTGTGAGCTGCGTACATGCTGACTCTGAATTGAGCTTCTCATCCGTCAGCACCCTTCGAACTCCACTTTCCTACAGCATCCCACAGTCTCTGGCCTTAACTTGGTTGAGAGAACTCTTTCGCCTGCGTGAGGTCTTCTCTGCAGTAGACCTTGGTTAGTACGGGACTGAGGGAAGCATCATCCCAGCAGCTCGCTTCGCCGCTGCACATGTCACTCAGCCCTACTCCTAACAGCTTGAGAGCAATTCTTGGATCATGGATGCACCGAACTCTGAGGCCTGCTCAAGAGTTTCCATATCTCATCACTTGTCCAATCTTCCTGCTCTTACGAGGAGCCAAGAAGCATGCTGTATGCTTCGTAGAAACAGGAGGCCTGCATCATGATTTGCGTCTACAGGCAATTCTGCGTGAAAAGCTGGACTTCGGCACTCAAACTATCAAGTGATCATTCCGGAACCTCCACAACATGGGACTTGTTAAGCTGTCCTTAGCGGCTTCCAAAGCTTGTAGCAGATATCTGGACACCTTGAGGCCACCAAGCTCAGATTAATTAGTTCAACTTAACTTCGTGCAACCTCAGCATTAGGCAGTACAATGACTTCGTGGAATGCCATCAAACTTTTCTGTCACCGTTTGCTTGCGCAGCATGCGCTCTGTACAACGCCTTCTAGAGCAGCCGGTTCTGCAGGCATCGGGACGGCGGGATCTTTTGACGAGGATGCAAACATTCCAAACCCAACTCAAATCTCAGAACAGGGCTCCCAAGGACTTGGAGTCTGGCGCGTATAGGAATTCGGGTCGCGAACTCTCCTTACCAAGCTGAACCTCAAACTCTGCAAGCACCCGCATGTATTTCGGTCGTATGCATGGTCTTTGTGCTCTGACGAGCTGCAGCGCATGGTCCAGTGACATGCCGTCAATGGCCATGAGCAGCGCCAGAACAACTACTGCAGAGCGATTGCATCCCAGGGCACAGAAAACATAAATCGGGCGGCCATCCTGGACCCTTGCATCTCGAGCAAACTGTACAGCCCTCTCCAGTGCTGCAGGCCAGTCCTGTTCGCTACCTTTGTCCTCCAAGTTTAGGACCAAGCGGCTGTCCACTGGGAAGTGGTCGCGCAAGGTGGTGGTCACATTTCTATCAGTGGCAGCACATATCATGCGTCCAGTCTCGCAGAGTTCGGGTGCTGGTTCGCGGAGAGCGCCACCCAGCCGAAGCCATGAGTTGATATGGCTGACGACTTCCGTCTGACTTTGCTGATACTTGTCCTTGGCAGCTCTGCAGTCGTCCACGAATGCCTGCAATCTTGGATCCGAAATTTCTGGTGGGATTTTGGCTGCTCGGATACAGGTCTTGCAACGAGCTCCACTGAGTTTTCGCCACTGCGACCCTGAGAAGCACTCCTGTGGCAGCCTCTCAGAACAAGATGCACATTCCAGCTCTGCAATGAGATCCGCCGCGCAGAGTGCGGAAGAGGCTGTGCTGTCCATGCTGGCAGGCTCGACGCTTGGACCAGTGCTACGGGATGCTACGGGGAGATGTCATATGGGGGGCTGATGAGGCTGAATCTGGCAGCAGCCAGGACTCACACAGTCTCATCAACGCGGCAGCGATGAAGCATCTCCTGGTGCCCATGGACACGAAGTCAGCAATGACAGATTGACATACGGCACCATGTGCCCTGCAGTATCGATGTCTCAACTTGGAGGCTACCCAGTCCTCAAAGTCGCCCTTGCTAACCTTGCCACCAGCCTGGGGCAGGTGTGCACGAGGCATTACATGACTTCCACCTTCCTCAGAAGTTGCACCAGCTTCACAAGCTCATCGTAAAACGGTAGACCGGCCGAATCGGGGAGCTGGGCAGAGGCCTCTGTGATAAGCTTCTCCAATCGGGTCCAGAGGGAGCTCCTCCTGAAGATGTTGCTTGAAAGCCGTACAGAAATTGGTTTTGCCTTACTTCATAAAGATAGGGCAGGCAATGCAGGCAAGAATCAAGGAATCTCTGCAAGGTTCGCACAACGCCCCGCGAACCAGGACCTTCTTGATCCCGCCGGCTAGGGCGTCTCTAGAGTCGTCTCTTGTCTCGCGGTCCATCCTAGGCTGCTGGTAATAACTCGCAACGCCACTTGAAAAACGCAAAGCTGCAAATGTCTACAAATTATCTCGTTCAGCTGTCCAAGACAGGCGTCTTTCGTAGGACCCCGAGTGGCTCCGCTCCTGCACCCACGAGGACCTGGACGGTGCTCAGCGTCCTTGGCCAAGGAGGGGCTTTGAGAGGAAAAGATGGAGACAGAGAGAGAGAGAGAGAGAGGTGATTTCTGAGTCTATGATACTCCCTCTGATGTGCTCCATCCAGTGTCTGTGCCCGACGGGTGGAAGCTGCCACGGCCAGGGCCGATAGACCACGGTGATCAGCAACCTAGCCGTTCACTTGCACAATCCGTGTCACCAACAGTGATAACAAAGCATGCGGCCAAGCACGTAAAGTTCCCGCCGCAGGTGCTTTCTTGAACAAACACATTTACTGGAATGAAATATCTAAGCTAGTTCACACACACATCAACGAAGAGCGATAATCTCGGGACGCAGTTGGCCCGCCCTCGCAGCCATAAGCACTCCCATCACGTCAATCGAAATTCCGGAGCCAACCCTGGACGACATAAACTACCACAAATCGATCAAACAGCCAGTTGTTACATCCTAGGCTTTTCACACAGTGTCGCGCTACGAGATGCTGCAAGGAGGTGAAGAAAGCTAGCAGCTGCCACATCTTTATGTGTGCTGAGGGCACGGGGCCCGAAAAGCCTACACAGCTTTGTCCATTTGTGCATACATTCATGACTGCACATCATCATTTCTGCGCCAGCGTTGTCTCTGCCGAAAGGAGCAGCGCCTCACCAAAAAAACTTGTAGGTGGACATATGCCTGTCCGTGTGATGAGTTCAGTCAGAATCACCAAACAAGCCATTGTAAACAGCATCGCCCTTGTACTTTGCTCCGCGGCCCAGATCCCAAGCAAAGAAATCACAGAGCTTAGCATGTACTGGGAGAACAAATCGACACTTGTGGCGACTCCAGCAATATCGTTCAAGTCTTGTGAAAACTCCGCGTGGAACGACATAATCGGCGGGAAAATGGCAAACTGCAGGAATGCAATACTGCTCAGGTATCCGCCCATGCTTTCTGACATTATGCCAGCCAAGACTAACGCCAGAGCAGCAAGTAGCACAAGCGGAGTGAACATCATCATCACTTCGGTCGGTTTCTTGCTCAACTGACCAGACACCCAGGAGCCCATGGCACATGAAACCGCGAATGCTGCGGTATACAATGAGGCAGATAGAACTGTCTGGCCATAGCGATCTTCCAAAATGAAGCCATTGGTGGAAATAACTATGTCAAACAAGCTCTTGGTGATTCCAACGTTGACTAGGATCAGTAACTGTCTTCGGCTGCCAATCGCGCGACGGACTTGTACCACCTCAGCAGCAGAGCTTTACCCAATGGCCTTTCCAGCACTGACAACACTCTACAGTCACTTGAAGTACGCAACATGCTCACTGTCTCCTCTTCAGGCATGACCCGGATTGCAGGGGCAGCAAGGGCAACTAATGCTAGACTGCACATGGTACAGACCCTGTTCCCCAAGAAATGTTTCAAAAAGTTGTCCCTGATGAACCACACTTCGGCGCCCCTGGTCTCCAGGATCCATGTTGTGCACTCAGCCAATCTCAGGAACCCAGACACACTAGACAAGATCTGAGTTTTTTGCCTGAGGGGCAAGTTAGCGGCTCAAGTGCTGGAGCTTGCAAGGAAGCTTGCAGTCTACCACACAAGGTTTGGCGTAGGTCTCCCGCTACACGTACGTTGGGCGTACCGGATGGGCCAAAAACTGGAACAATGAACCTAAACGGCAACTGCAAAGCACCATCAAGCCCTTGCTTGTTGCAGCTAAGGCTTTGGCTATTTTGGAGCTGTGTTCACGTGCAGCAGCTGTCTCAGTGACCACTATGCAGCTCGTGAATGCGAGAAGCACCGCCACGACCGTCAGCAGGCCAAAGGGAAATCTCCATCCAAAGTAAGAACCCAAGAGCCCTCCAAAACCAGGGGCAAAGATAGGGCCAATTAATATCAGCGTCATCATGGTACCCATTGCCTGCAGGCTACTGGCTGGGTCCTCATAGCAGTCACGCATGCTCGCGAGCACGACGACGTACACGGAGGCTGCTAAACCTTGAACGACACGCCCGGCCATGAACCAGCCGAGGTTTGTCGCACCTTTTGTCCAAGACACTACCCGAAGTAAAGAAGGATCAACCGAGACAAACGACGCCTTAAAGTTTAAAGCGCCCCGGAAGCTCCAAATTTGCCAGAATACACCACAGCCCACAAAGCGCCCAAAGCCTCAAAATGCTTCGCAGAAAGTCCCAGGGACACATGCATGTGAACGTGCTGACTGCCTGCATCCACTGGCACGCCAATATGACCGGGCGTCTGCCCATTCGATCTGAAATGGGGCCAACGAACACTATGCCAAGGGCGCAGCTGAACAGGTGGATCTGGATCGTGGACCCCATTTCAGCTGGAGACACCTCAGCTCACTATGGTGTGAGGAAGGGATATAAGCATAAGGGCAGTAGCAAGTTCTCCAGTGCCTCTTCTTGCAAATTTCAAGCCACACAGTGAGAGGCCTTCTTTCGCAAGTGTATAGAGGTTTGTTGAGAGTCAACTCCTGAGAAATGTGTATGTCAATGTATGTATCCTGTAATGTACAGACAAGCCACATGGAACGCCCTCGCCATTTCTGGCATGTTAGGCTGGTACTGGTCTGTGCATGAGTAGTCCAGTAACATTGTAATTGCCAGCGCGAGCTTCATCTTTCGGGACATGCCAGTGCCCATTTCCTCGGCAAAGCTTTCTTTCTTTCGTTCAGGCTATGGAGAGGGGGTGATCCCCCTCTCCGGGCGTCACTGCAAAGCTTCTTCTTCTTCTTCTCACTGCTCTACCCCTCTCGAAAGAGGGGCCGGGGCAAAACCCCAAGCAGGATGATGATCCAGGCACGCGAGCCGTGGCAGGACCCGGTTACGGCAAGTACAGTGGGCAAAGCTCTCTCTCTCTCTCTATCTTCCCCTCTCTCGCGTACTCAGTTCAGGCACGGGAAATTCAGCTTCCGACGCATGCTGCAAGTGTGCTGCTATTACGTCCAGTTTCTGTTGCAGTTCGCAAACGCCCTTCTGGCACCCCGCAGCAGGCCACATAGATAAGGAACGCAGCCAACAAGCCAGCAAGCAGCGCTAGCGAAATTTGAGATGTCCACCTTGGTGAAGTCATGCAGAGTGCCTACCCTGGACTGCCTTGACCCACTTAAGATTGCAAAAAAGCTGCTGTAGCGAGTGCCACACTGCATCATCCGCCCTGGCAGAATTCCGCAACCTCTTCCACTTCTCCAGCATCACCTGCCTGAGCTTTGGACACCGCATTCCCAAACTTGGCATGAAATCCCAGGGGCTACTGCCTTCTAATGCCTTCTGGAGTCTTCTGAGCTTCCAGCTCAATTGCTGTGCCTGCTTGCCCATACTCAGTAGACCTCGAGCGTGACATGTGGGTCGGCCAGTTGCCATGACTTGGAGCTGAGACAAGACAAAGAGGCAGCATATTCAAACAAGTGTGCGAGCAAGCTGCATTTGGAGAAAGTGAATGGACAGGTTTTCATGGAAGCGGTCCAGCATCCTTCACACACATCACATACCTTAAATGCCGACCAGCCGAGACCGCCCGCTGGCCTTTCCCGAATCTCGTGCAACATCAGGGCAGCGGAGATCCCATTTGCCGCTACACTGTGGAAACTGTAGATGTCCAAAGGGAAGACTGTCGTGGCCTATGTGTGCGCAAATCTATCGAGCTCAGGATCTTCAGAGCTCTCAGGCTGCAGCAGATATCAATGATTTTGCGCCGAGATGGCTACGATCACATCCACAAAGCTCTGCAAGCAACACCAAACACCTTGCATGGTTGGAGCACTTGGTCCCGCTTGAGGTTCCCTGCTGACAATTAGCCATATACAGAGCGCCGCAAAGAAAAATCAGCCCTAAGCGTCAGCCTGGTACCACACCGAAATGTTTCGAATTGCCAGCGCAGGTCAGCACGGGGCCCCCTGTAACTCTATGCCCTTGAGGCAGTGCTCAAGACTCAAGATTCGGTAGAACCACAAACTGACAACAGGTATCATCTTCTGCCAAGCTCGAAAAGGGCACGTGGAAATCGGAGAAATGCTCATCCCGGCTCCGAGGCGCATCCGACAAGTCCAGAGGATGCTTGTTTGAAGCCACAGCGTGGAATGTCCATTCTGGTGAGTGCTTGGGCCTCCGGGTCGCTACGGAAGCGTAGCAGCTGCTCCACCTTTCAGAGGCTCCAATGGCATCGCTGCAACCCTTGTGGCAAACGAAAGACGAAAGCTGCCAAGCTGCGGCTTTGGCGTCGGGGCGGCTAGCTGCAAGCCAGAGCGGCGTGCGGCCCAAATGGTCCCGCACCTTGAGGCTCAGTGGCCGCCACCCGGAGAAAAGCCCCCATCTAGTTGGGACTTGATCTCAGCAAGGCACGTGCAGTGGAAGCAGCTCTGACCAGGAGCCGTCAGCACCAGCCTTCCAAATCCACACTTCTCATAGTAGAAAAACAACGCACAGCTCGGCAAGGGACATCAAACGTGACCATGCTGAAACATAGTAAACGTTGAGGGAATGTCCGTGCTGGAGCCACCCGGGCATGCGGTAGAGCTTCGGAGACCAAGCGCAGCAAACGAGTGGCATACCTTCAACAAAGCATTCTCGTAAAATCAATCCCATGTGCGGATCCTGTGTTGCATCTGCATTGCCTGGTTCTCGGCTAATCAGTAGGAACCCTGCAATCCATCGCGCAAGGTGTTGGCTGACTTGCGAGGCACCTGCTCTGGCAGGCCGCATGGAGCAGCGTCTGGCCCTGCTCATCCTCGGTGGTCTTGCCAAGGTCCTCAAGGAGGAGCAGGTCTTTCCAGGTTGAACATTCCCTTACGTGCTGGATCTGCAGGAGCATTTGCAGATGTAGCTGAAGCAGTGGCAGCAGTGTTAGTTGCAGTGGTACGAGCGAGCGAGGAAATCTTACGTCAAGACATTAAGGTCACATCAATTCCCATTGCCCCATGACATGCGGCAAAGTTGGGCCGCATCGATTGACATGAAGAAGCTTCAAAAGTTTACAAGCGCGATGAATGTCCAAAACCAAGTATGTGAGTCTCACATCCAGATTCAGAAAACAGATTCGTACTTATCAGTGCACCATTTTGGCATGCTGACATGTGCGAGAATTGACGTTCAAGCAGCGCCCTGTAGGCTGTTTCACAAAAATCTGGCAGCCTCAGTTGAAAACCCAACGAAATCAGCTAACAGGCAGAAAGGCCAACTTCCAGGAACCAATTGACATGTGAGCAACAGTTAACATGCTTGTCGCACTGGGGGTGAGAAGCTTGGAAAACCGTGGAGCACACACCATACCGTCACTAGTTGAAAGTGACGCCCAAACCCAAAGCAAGATATAGCATCATAAAGCGCGCAGCAATCTGCCAAAGCGAGGCAGGCAGTTCACCAATCATTGGCCATTTCTGCACACCTTCCCACCAGATCCAACCAAAGAAGCTTTTCAGGAGAACATACACAGTCAAATTTATCACGGGTAGCCATCTGTCCTGAAAATCAGGTTCATGCGTGGGGTGGCATTTGGTGATGAAAAAGTGATGCCCTGCTGTGTTACCTTGATGCCCTCTTGAATCCAAGCAGTTTTGCCAGCTATGTCTTTAAGCACAAGTAGAAGAAGAATCTGCCATGCGCACCCCTGTGCAAGGTCAGGACGACGAACCCACGTCCAAGTGTTGCGAGGTTCCACATGCCACCCCTGATCACCCCTGGCATGCTTGACAATGGGAAAACACTGAAAGACTTTCGCAGTAACATGCTGAGCAGGCCGAAGCAAGACATGCCCAGCATAACACGACAAATGCTTTCGGCAGCTAACTGTTTAGCCTTGCTGAGGGAATTTGTCCAGGCGTGGAAGAACTCGACGAGGCTTAGACGTTGCAAGGACATGGCCACTGAAGGGGTCGAATGAACGATGCGCCTGCAAAAAGAAGGTAGCAAGAGTAGCAGCATCACTAGCGGCAGAGTAAGGGTATCCATGCTGCAGCCCTGCGCATTGAGCAGAAACAGTGAAGAAGATGATTTCGATAATGATCATGACGTTGGTCGTTGATGGCAATGATGCATAATATAGTGAAATGCAAGTCCCCCAAGCTAACGCTGCTTTTCGATGCGACATCAAGGCAAGATGATCCGACTTAAGCTACCACCAGATCTTTAAAACGTGAACCCTCGACCATAATCCTTACATAATCCCCATAGCACCCGTATACAACACCTGTAACACCCCTGCATGATCCCCTACACCGACCCTTGAAAGGGATCCTGTCTACTTCTTCAAGGGCTCCTGGCACCGTAGCCCGCTGAGACGCAGCCGAGCTCTGCGAGTAGCCAAGGCCTGACACCCTAAAAAAAAAGAACAACAAATGAATAGAAATATATGCACATTTTTTGCATATATATATATACATATATGTTTTCATTTGCAAACGTGGAAACTTATTCAGATTCATATTGAACCTAAGGTCTCTTCAAGGGGTTCTGGTTAGATACGAGTTAGATACTGGGGGGGGTGACGCATCAAAAAAAAATGCTAGGCATCAAAAAGTTGATCCAAAAAATCGATTAGAAAAAAAAAATCTTGGCGCCCGGCATCAAAAAACAGAAAAGCATTGAAAAATGAGGGCCAGGAGACTCTTAATTGCCGTAGCAATAGCAATACAAGTAGCAGTAGCAGTAGCAGCGATACTTCTAGTAAGTAATACTAGCATTCATACTACTAGTAAGAATAGTACTACTAGTAGTACTAGTAGTACTAGTAGCAGCAGTAGTAATAGTAGTAGCTGCTACTACTACTACTACTACTACGACTACTACTACTACTACTACTACTAGCCGCCCCCCCCCCTACCAACTATGTTCCCTTAAATTGAGGGGTGGGCTGTCAAGAGCCTGCGAGGAAGAAGGCAATGGTGGAACG